ACACACACACACACACACACACACACACACACACACACACACACACACACACACACACCACACACACACACACACACACACACACACACACACACACACACACACACACACACACACACACACACACACACACACACACACACACACACACACACACACACACACACACACACACACACACACACACACACACACACACACCAGAGTCAGCAGCATCACTTCCTCTGTCCAACATGTGCAGGGTAAAACCCAAGGAAACTCAAACATGACGTAATGTGACACTCATAATAAATACGGGTCCTACAGGGGAATGTGACATGTGATTAGAATGTGTTAAAAAGGTCCCTTTCCGACGTCTTCTCTCACTCTCTGTAGTCTGATTGGTAAAATAGGAAGTTAAGGGATTAGTTGGGAATTTGTTGAAAGTGTGAAGATACGGTTAACATCATACATTCATTCTATTGTAAGGGATGTGTGCTATACTGCGTCCTATTTGTGTGTATATATATATATATATGTATTTTTATTTATTTCACTGTAAAGTTTGTTTGTTTTTTACCTAAGAAATAAGGTTTTTCTTGGCAAATGCTGAATCCTTTAATCTCTTAAAAAGGCCTCTAAAAATTCTTTCAAAAGTTGGAACAAGCCCCAAAATGTTTGGGAAACCTTGCTTTTGAATAACAAATGAATAATAAAAAGTTCAGACAGAAAGCAGCAGTACACACTCGATGGTAAACCGTAAATACAGCGTGCCGTAAATACAGCCTAAACACACCGTAAATACAGCCTAAATACAGCCTAAACACACCGTAAATACAGCCTAAATACAGCCTAAACACACCGTAAATACAGCCTAAATACACCGTAAATACAGCCTAAATACAGCGTAAATACACCGTAAATACAGCCTAAATACACCGTAAATACAGCGTAAATACAGCGTAAATACAGCCTAAATACACCGTAAATACAGCCTAAATACACCGTAAATACACCGTAAATACAGCGTAAATACAGCCTAAATACACCGTAAATACAGCCTAAATACAGCGTAAATACAGCCTAAATACACCGTAAATACAGCCTAAATACAGCGTAAATACACCGTAAATACACCGTAAATACAGCGTAAATACAGCGTAAATACAGCCTAAATACAGCGTAAATACACCGTAAATACAGCCTAAATACACCGTAAATACAGCCTAAATACAGCCTAAATACAGCGTAAATACAGCCTAAATACAGCGTAAATACAGCCTAAATACAGCCTAAATACACCGTAAATACAGCCTAAATACAGCCTAAATACACCGTAAATACAGCCTAAATACAGCGTAAATACACCGTAAATACAGCCTAAATACAGCCTAAATACACCGTAAATACAGCGTGCCGTAAATACAGCCTAAATACACCGTAAATACAGCCTAAATACAGCCTAAATACAGCCTAAATACAGCGTAAATACACCGTAAATACAGCCCAAATACAGCCTAAATACACCGTAAATACAGCCTAAATACAGCCTAAATACAGCGTAAATACAGCCTAAATACTCCCTAAATACAGCCTAAATACAGCCTAAATACACCGTAAATACAGCCTAAATACAGCGTAAATACACCGTAAATACAGCCCAAATACAGCCTAAATACACCGTAAATACAGCCTAAATACACCTGAACATGGACTGGTTACACATTAGGAAAGTCGATACCCATGTAAAGACAGAAAGCAGCATTTGGCCGGTGGGAGGAAACTTCCCGTCCTGCTCTCAGTGTGCGTTTGGACAAAGATAGCGAGTGTGAAAGTGACTCCGCACCAAACAACTCGCCTGTTAATATTCATACTGGGGGGGGGGGGGGGGGGGGCCGGAGAACATCTAACGAGAGACTCGTCAGGCGTTTTGCTCATCTGTTGTTCAAAGATGTTGAGCGGCCAATCGTCTGCAACATATTTACTGAGTCAACAAATACAGAGTTCACACACATGACCTTTACCTTGTTGTGTTTGACTCCTAATCTGTTGATCAGGACAGACTGCATTTTATTGACGTCAACACTTTGACTGTTTTCTGTCTTTCAGTCTTTTGGTTTGGGACTGTCGGTCGAACACCATTTGTCTCTCTTTTCTTCTCTCTTTAATACTTTTAATTAGTTTGTCCTTGCATGTACTTTGTCCAAACTACAAACTAATATGTATACAACTAGACTTGCTTGATTGCATGCCATAAATACACAAGCGACTTTCTTAAGAAAACACAAAGAATAATTATCTTTAAAAAATAATAAAAGTTAAATAATAAATAGAGAATAAATTGTCTTAAAATGAAATCACTAAAATATTGAGTTAGATTACTAATTTTGTTTGTTTTTTAGATGAATACACTGTCTAAATATTTGAAATAGTAGAATAAATAATAAGATTAAAGCAGATTGCAAGACAGTGATGTATAAAGGGAAAGGGATATATCCCCAAATGTCATCAACGTACTCCCCTTTGCTTCATTTGATATTAAAACATAACACAAGCGATAATAGCTTATAATGAATTCATCAATTACTGGACTGAATGACACAGGAACTAATCATTTGTTGTCGTCCTAATTCGACTTTTATTTTTGCACGCGATCAAATTCCCCCTCTAAAAACTACCCAGTCACATTTGGAGCAATTATAGCTTTCCAAATATGTGCTGTGTCCTTGTTGAACTGCAGCGCTCACACATGGGAGCCCAGCTGTCTGTTTGTGTCTCAGCTCCACCTGAGTTCATCACATCAGAGTGACACCTTGTTGTGATTGGCCGTCGAAGCAGAAAGAAGCTTCTGCAGCCAGATGTGCGTTAGCGTTAGCATGTGATATCCTACATTTCAAAGGTGTCAGAACGGATGGATCACGGCGCATTCAACCTTTTTCTGAAAACAACTCCTCCTGCCTTCTTCCCTCCTCATCGGCCCTGCCGCATTTCTGTTCTCCGCGTTGTTATTTTCTGCTGCGTCTGCCTCTCTGTATCAAATACTGCCGCATCACAGAGGCTGATCGAAGCTCGTTGGGATTAACCGAAAGCATATTAAACAACGTTGGGCATCCCCCCCGCTACGATGCGACAGCTTAAGTGGATCAGAGCTGCTAATACAGTTACATCTCCCCTCGGTTATAACCCGCGCTGAGCCCTGTGAATCGGCACGGCTATTCTTAACCGCTTTTGGAGAGCCAATGACTGCACAGTCACGGCGGTGGGTCTGAACTCGTTTGCTCATTAGGGCTGCAACAAACGACTAATTTGATAATCGATTAATGAAACGATTAATCGACTATTTGGACTATTACTGTACGCCTTGCACAATTTCTCAAAAGCTCTTATTTAGCCATCAACTTTTAGATGTAGCTTGAGGTTGTTTTAGGCATGTGGAAACTAACAATGGAGACAATAAAGATGAATACTTGATTCAAAAATACATATATTATTAAATTAACTAAACACATTTTGAACAAAATTAACATTGCTTTTTATTTAAATTAAATAAATAATATTTCACATCAAAAGAAACAACAATGTTTTAACAAATCGTATTAAATAATGTGACGACAGAACTGCTGAAACTTTAACAAACTAAATAACTCAGTTTCCTCTAATCATTAACCCGTGTTTGTATAATTGTGTTAACTCCGTGTGTTACTGCTAGCATACAGAACACCTGGTGTGGAAACGTTACTCGTGGATGGGGCTACAGAGCTACTAGAAAGACGGTCGAACCCGGTACATTCCTCCGTCTGGATGTGGAGCACTTTTGCTAAATGTTTAGACAAATTGCTCGTGTTACCGCCCTCACATGATAAACACTTATTGCACTTTTGGCAACGAGCATCGAGACGGGTAAAGTTTAACCACCTCGGAGCGCGTTCTGTGGCACGTAGCAGCTGCGTGTGTAAACGGCCCCGCCCCCTCGCACACAGGCGGGGGAGAGAGATCTCGTCTGATCGAAAATACATCATAGACGCATTTGTTTGTCTTTTTGCATGTTAGAAACGAGTTGGCGACACTAAGACTGCGATATCATGTTTTTGTAGCAATAATATATTTTTTAAATGTCTCCAGTACCGATAACAAGACCAATAACGTTGGAGCTTAACGGCGCGTAAAACACATGTGATGACGTCACCAACGAATCGACGACTGAATTAGTTGCACCCCTATTGCTCAGAACTGGACTTACAAGCTGCACCTGTTCAAGCTGAGTCCGTGAGAAAGCTAGCATTAAGTAGAGAGCAGTGTGTGCCTGTAGGTGGGCTGACGACAGCAGTGGGGGAAGTGAAACTTAAACTAAGATCACAATAAGCCACAGCCCTGGTATTGTCTTCAACATCTGCTCGGCGCAATAACATCAACTGTTGCTGGATTCCCTACCCTCCCCTGGAGACAAACTCTCTTAGCTTAAGGTCCGAACGAGACACTTCAGAGACATGTTCTGTATATGTCTGAGACCTGTACTATATTGATGAGAAACAGTGTCATCGGAGACCTTTAAAAACACTTGAGGATTTATGTAAAGAAGCACTTCCTGTTTTACTTCCTTTATATTATACATCTGGCGCGCAGAGCTGTCTGATGTCATGTCCTTGTCAGTGGGAATGTTCCATGTGAGATAGCAGTCTCCTTGACGACCTGTACACAGCTAAACATTAGAGATTGATTGACTAACAATGAGTCAGCATATGCAGTGACAGTTTGAGTACTTGCACAAAGCATGACTAACAGATTTAACGGTGGATCTGTGCGGCTTCCTGAGTTAAAACTAACTAATGAAGGGGACTGGGAACACTAAAAAACATGGACACAAAGTGAGTCAAAGCTTCATGAGACACCAGCAGCGAGAAGCTAAAGGTTGGGAAACTCCAGAAATCTTAATAAGTTATGAGTAAGTTCACAGCCAAGTCTGGTGGTGGTGGTGTGTGTGTGTGTGTGTGTGTGTGTGTGTGTGTGTGTGTGTTCCTCACCTTGATCTAACTGGCTGTGGTCCGGCGTCTCGGCCCCTCCCTGGCCCCCGTACGCCTCGCTCAGCGGGTCGCTCCGGTTCACGCTCTCTCTGGAGCCGAAGCGCACGCGGGCCCCGGAGCGCGAGCTGATGTCAGGCGACGTGTCGGACAGCCCCGGGAGGTCCTCGGCCTTCGTGGGCGTCACCGTGAAGCGCACTGAAGCCATGGCTGCTCACTTGGAGTAGAGGGGGGGGGAAGGAAGGAAGGGAGGGAGGGAGGGGTCAGTAGCTAAGTGCTGACCTGAGCTACGCTAAGCTAAGCTAGGCTATCTCCCAGGTGATGCTGAGGTGACGGCGGCCTCTACAATTTGTTCTTTTGCAGCCACAACTCTCCATTGCAGCCGAGGGGTTGGCTGCCACCAGGCATGTGAACAAAGATGTGCCTTAGAGAGTTAACAACCTCTCCGATTAGATTTAGAAATACAACTAAACTCCTTTAATATATATGTGTACCAGTCACAAGCAGCTTTCAGAGGTCATAGGAACACAGATGAAGAGCTTAGGATGTCAAATATGTCCTTTGCTTCCAACAAACTACAAGTATCTGCATGAGGACTATAGCTTACACATCGCACATTAAGCTTGCCTGTGTTTCTCAAGTTTACACAATTAAAATGTGTCTGAAAGGCTGATAGAAATGTGTCTCTAATGATGGCCCAGCTAGGGTAAGGGAGGGTGTAGTGATGGGGAAAGTCATCAGAGGGAAAGGGTGGAGATGAGAGAGAGAAACAATAAAGCAGAAATTAGTCGATTATTGCAAAAACTGGCTAAATTGTAAATGAAAAAGAACATCTTAAAATATAAGTAGGGGGATTAAAATAAGGAAAAGCAGTACTTTGAAAATTGTATCTACAACATCTTCATTTCAGATTGTGCTTACCTTGTGCTGGTGGTCTGTCTGTGTGGAAGTAAGCAAGTAATTGCCATCAGCTTTTATGTATTAAGATACAGAAAATAAAAAGGTATTAGACTATTATATTTGACTATTGTAACCGTCAACTACTCGCTTACATTTGACTTTTGTCATTTCTAAAATTACTTTTTTTAAATGGAATGCATTTTGTTTTCATAATAGTGCATTGGACCATCTTTAGTCCATTCAATTAAAGTATTGCATGTTCTTAATAAATGCCTCCTTTGCAGCACTCTTCAATGAATTCCCGCAAAGAAAAATAAGAAGCATTTCAAGTTTCACTTTTTAGGTAAAGGACCGGACTATAGTCGTCACTTCTCGCCCACCTTCGTGCTCCAAAAGCCGCCAACACAAGCCTCAACCTGCCTTCCTCTGAAGTCAAAAGGTAAACAACCTACACACTAGATCCCTTGGTACCTTTATGTACTTTCACACACCTTTGTCCAGCCAACTAACCAATATAAAGTAGCCATGGTAACATTCAGACAGATTCCTTACCCGTCCACAACATGACGTCTGTCCAAGCAAAGTAAAACAATAACCTCTCAGGTGAAAAGTCAACCATCACTTCGTCTCGGGAGAAAGGTGACTTATGGATTCGGCTGAAATGTTGATTTAACTCATCATTTAATTATTAAAGGAGAGCGGTTCCAACCGGTTGTGCCAGTAGCTGCTGGCTGATGTTCTCTCGCTCAGCACGCAGAGGCACGGCACAGTTTCCTCTTTCATCTGTTCAGAGCTGGACAGGACATTTGAATTTGTTCCGTTCATGGTATGCACAACTTCATGTATTACAATTGTTTACAAAACATGTCTCTATAAACACACCATTGACTGAAAAGGAGCAGGGCGAAGAAAATAATCTTATGTTACGTGGCCCTTTCTAAAAAAGAACTAAATAGATGGTCTGTCCTTCATATTTTCTTTTTCACACAGTATCATAGGATAATGAGAGAAACACGTACTAGAAAAAATACTTAGTTCCCACTTGACGGTTAACGGAAAGAAACAAAACACCGAAACATCACAAAGAAAGACATGATTCGCATCCTGCTGGTTCAACTAGCCTTCCTGTTGTTTTTTAACTAACTTCCTGATAGGGTTAGGAGTCCTTTACCAGCATGTATTGTGGTAAACGCTGAAGGGTTACGAGTCTAGACAAACACATGTACAGCCATGGGCAATAAGGACGCTCCTTGTCTTTGGATGAGCCGGAAACACGAGAAACCCACATGGAGAAATGACACGCTTCTCCTACACTCACATCTATACCCACAATGCACTGTCCTTGTCGCACACATGTATTGATATATATTTTCATAGTTTGCTCGCGTCACGGGAAATACTTTCGAAGTTTGGAAGGCTTTTAATGACTATATCTTTGGCCACCTTGATTGCGTCTAAATGGGTCAAATTTAGTGCCTTTTTAGGGAAGATTTTTGCATGGTGATTTACTCTGTGATATGAAGCCATTTGTCACTGTAGCCATGTTACGTGCTTTTACAGCAGGTCGGTTCATTCAAAGTTTCCTCTTTCTGTCCACTCAGTAAATATAAGAGCATTTCACGGCTGGGAACATTTTGTTCTCCTTTCGGGCAATTCAGCAGCTTAGATTGTTGATTTTAAAACAGGTTGTTTGAATAGATATAGGAAACCGTTTCTGCTCAGGTAACCAAATAGCCATAGGACACTGGATCACCAATGAATTATCTCTTGTTATATTGCACACCTCATACTTGTATGATGTGTAACACTAACTCAAAGCCCAAAATACTTACAATTCTTCAGATACCGATTAACAAATAACCTAAATACCTAATATCATGAATTCAACCTGGGACATTTTATCCAATTTTCGACATGTTGTTCAACCCTATTCATTCCAATGTATGTCATATATATGAGGCTTTATCACAGGTAAGTGAACAGTTCTTAATAATAGGATCCAGAGGGGGTCACTAGCCTAGCATTGAAACACTGTACACAACCACCAGGACTATGGGACTAATACACACAAATAGTCTCGCAATTCTTACAAATACCAAAGCAACAATTGTAATATTGATACTAACCAATGTCTATATGCTTCTGTAGTATATTTCTGTCGTAATAAATGTATTTTTTACTGTGAATGTGTACATATTTGCTGTTTGGGTTGAATGTTGTATTACATTTGTATCTTATTCTGTCTTTAAAATATGTGTAACTTGTGTGTAATGCTAGAGAACACTGTTGCTGTGACCAAATCATTTAAAAATGTGGGATGAATAAAGTATCTATCCATCTAATGAATATCCTCTAATTAATGATTTAGTTAGAGGATGATTTCCAGCATTTTTTTTAAAGAATATAAGTCAATATGCTTTAAGTTTCTGTCCCTTTAGTAGATTGGTATATTAGAGAGCGTTCTCATTTATTCTGTATATGTTATTGAGTGTGTTCTTCGACAGTGTATAGTGTTTTAAACGGTATTTTATTAGTAATTTGGTGTGTTATTCGTGTACAATGGCTGTCAAAAATGCAGCTATGACTTAACATCTCTATATCTATGTACCTTAACAGTGGATGGTGACCCTCCCTGTTGACTGACTCCACTGTAAGCCAATTAAGCTAGCCATAATAATTCTGGCTTGAACCGGTCAGTGAACGCATGCCAATATTAATACAGACAAAAACCTGGAAGGATAATCTTTATAATATAGTAACGAGCAGATGTGTTTGGCTTAGAAATGACACCATGAGAAAGGGAAATGCGGCATCAGTGCGAGAGGCTGCGTTTACCGGCTAAAAACAGAAAGGCGCGCGGCGGTATCGGGAATAAACTGGAGGAGAAATTAGTTATTGACATGGTAGTGATTCTCGTTTAAATGTAAGCATTATATTATTAATAGCAACATGTCAAGAGCCGAAGCTAACGTTAGCACCACAGGCTAACCATGCTGCTATTTTTCACTGACAACAACAAATAGTCAGTGAAAACGTCAATTTTTTTTGTTCAGTTCTAATAAAACGTGAGTCGCATGAAGCATACCTGGCTTAAGTTTCCTGTGGAAAACGCTTCTGGTTGTTTTCAGTTACATCTGGGAATACCTGGCTCCTCTCCCAGGTTTCTCGGCACTTTTTTTTGTGTCCGACCGACACAACAAAAAAAACAAGCAACTGCGAACGGCCTGTCCCATTTCGCTTGCCGTCGTTCAAACTGCCAGCGCATGCGCAACGAAGGAGTAGCCGACGCTCGGTGGGATTTGTAGTCCACAAAGACCAGACAGTGAATAGCGTGTTAATGTTAAATAAAAAATGCTTTAAAAGTATGATAAACGTACTTATTACGGTGCCTTGTTAAATAATAAACAAGTGGTAACATAATGTTGAATTGGTAATATATAATTGATCCACTGTGGCCATTTTAGAAGAAGTATATTTTGACTTTTATATTGTTGTTCTGAGTCATTTCCATCAGGTAATGATTTGAGTGTCTCATCCGCAGAAGCTATTAATGTGTACATGATGCAACACAGTTATATGTGTGTACTCCTTTGAGATCGAAGTGCATCTGCAGAAAATGAAAAGGGGTTTTCATTGAAAAAAGTATTACTTTTTAAAATGTTAGCTGCAGCTCGGATGTTGGCTGGGTTGGTTTGTATAGATCAGGAGATAATAATCCGGATGGAACTGTGTAAAATACATTTGCTTTGTATTAAATACGTAGTAGCATTTTATCGTTGAACACAGTGGTCCTGTAACAAAATAATTTCCCAAATTGGGATTAATAAAGTATATATCTATCTATGTAATGCATGTTTCACGCAGGATCAGTACATGATGCATACAATGCATCATGTACTAGATTGGTCTAAAACCGCCAATTTGACTGGGAGGGCCAGGCTGGGGCCAGTTATTTTCTGAGGGGGGCACAATAAATGCAGGACGAAAAAGACAAAGACAATAGGCTTGTTTGAGATAAGCAAGACCTGCGCAGACCTGCGCAGTTGCGATCAACGTCTTGCTAGTGCGTTGCATGATGGTTAGTCATTTTGTCCGACTTGCTCTGGAGGCCCGCCCACATGAGACTTTGAAATTTCGCGGGACAAAGACGCCCGCAGCCTTGAGAGCGAGGCGAGGCGAGTTGGCGCAGTTGCTCTCCACGGGCTGCGGAAGCGAAATGCTTGATGGGAAACGGCTCGCTGGTATCTCGAGCTGAGCGCTCATTGGTGGTTTTTACCACGTGCTGCTGATGAAACTCTCCAATTGGCTGGCAAAAGTTTGTTGTTGTTTTGTGTCAGTTTTACGTCGCTACATCCATTCCCATTTTTCATCATTGTTCCACAATGTTTATCATCATGAAATTAATATCTATATATTTTATACTATACTGCTTACCGTTTTCATACTTTATATATCTTAGCATATTCATACACACTGTTCATACTGCTCACAGGCTGATATCTAGTGTATTCATACCCCTCACTGTTTATTCATCGTTCAATTCATTCTATATTTTATTCTGTAGATTGTGTACATTACTTTTCACTTTACTGCTTGTTGCACCTGGTTAGAAGCTAAACTGCATTTCGTTGTCTCAGTACCTGTAATATGTGCAATAACAATAAAGTTGAATCTAATCTTGAGCAGGAACAAATGTATTTACTTAGTACATATCTGACATTAACGATTAAACACATGTGTGCATTCTTTATAAATGCAAACCGAGTCAAGCCGACTCCGGAGGTGGCGGTATGCACCTTAAAGTTGTTTGCAATCCGCCAAAAAACGGAGAGAAGAAGAAGACGAAGCCGACTCCGAGCTGTCCAACTTCAGGCGAGCTTTTTGAGACCTCCCCCGGCTGCGATCGGCTACTCTCGAGGCGAGCCGCAACGCGTCTCAAACAAGCCTAGTATGAAGTAATTGCGCATACATACACCTAAGAAAACAATGCAATGCAGTTATTGGTATTTGTTTCATTACACATTATTATATGCTTACCTTAACCTTTGTGTGCTGTTTGGGTCTGTGGGACCTGTTTTCAGTGTTAACTAAAAGAAAATGTATGCAATTTAATTATTTGAACCTGCTTTATTTGGGGGTGGACCTCGCCTCCTCTAGGGGGGTCTGGGGGCATGCAGCCCCGGGAAGATTTTTTTTTAAATGTTGAAGTTAAATGCATCAATCTGGTGCACTTTGAGCACAAAATGAATTTATGGATACAGCTCTCAACACTCAGATGAAAGGGAGCTGTATACTTTTCAATAATCCAAAACATCTTTAGAATATGAACACAACCAATAACAAATCATTTAAACGAGTTTATTCTTATCTTATGTTACCTATAGTTAGTATTCTTTCTTTTTATTTATGCATATTTTATTAATCCCCCCCCTTTCAAACTGTTTTTTTTTTTTACTGTCCTATAGTACACATTGGAATGATTTCTTTATTTTTTACAACAAATTAAATAGATAACGGTGTGCTCTCTCTCGCTTGCTCACAGAGGCTGTGTGCTCCTCCGTGGCGATGACGGCTTGCGTTAAAAAAACATATTTGTAAAGTGGGGGCTATTGAGGGCTTGCGAGATATCGGTAGCTCGTGATCGCTCTAATGGGTCCGACTAGAATGACAAATATCGTTACTTCCGCCTATTCCGTCAGCCAAGAAATCTTTTAATCATAAACTTTTTTTCTTTCATTTTTAGGGGGGCCAAAGTCAGTGTTAGGGGGGCACTGGGCCCCCCCCTAGAACCGCCCCGCCAACAGTGCCTCGCGCCCCCCCTGAAATTCAAGGTGTTTACAAAAATTGTTTTATTTATTATTATTAATATATAGCACCAAATTGTAACTAATCTATATCTACTGTCACTTTTCACATTGAACATGTGCTCTTTTATTAAATAAACTAAACACTTTCATTTTAAGTTGTGAGTTTAGTGACCCTAAGAAACACTGATGCATTAATCAATAACAATAATCCACAGCTCCTCTCTCTGCTCCAGAGGATTTAGAAAATATATCCCAATATATCCCCCCCCCAAAGCAGTAAACCTAGGGGAAACACTGATTAGGTTCCTATTATTTCATTGGAGTAATTCTTGAGAAGCTCACTTGCTGAATGCCCCCTCTACAAAGACATACACTACAAATAAGTGTAGTGTCTAATCTTTGACCAGACCTGATATAATCGTCTATAAATGTTTTCTTATCAGTTTTGAGAGTCCAGTCATAATTAATTTTCAATAGAACAGATTTACAATTTCTTTAAAAAAAATATAAATCTGTAACACACCAGTGGAAAAATATCTAATAGGTGTTTGAGATCTGGTGACTCAAGGACATAAATGATCCACACCACATCATATTAATCCAATCATTTATTCAGCAAGAAAACAAAAATATATCTTCATCCTCGAATGAATGCCAACAAATTACAGTATATATATAAAAAAAGAAAAGATCCACAACAACAGCCGATGTCCACAAATGAAACACAAAACAAATCCCAGTTTCATGTTTATAAGATGTGATTCTGAATGTGTTTTCTTTACAGTCCCATCCAGGCCTGCATCGCTCTATTCCTTGGTCTGATTTCCACCCGTCCATCTGTTCACCGCCTGCTCACAGGACAGGTCTGGGCTGCTGGGTCAGGAGGAGGTTGAAGCGTTTCTTCACCGTCACCCTGTGTCGGGAGAACTTATCGTCTGGGGAGAACCGAGCCGGGTGGGCCGAGCTGGTGGGATCCCCATCAGCAGTACTCTTCTGTTGGTGGAGAAGGAGGAAAGACAAGACACTTTGAGTTCAGTGTGGCAAAACACAAAATAAAAGCCTTGCACAAAGCTAGTGTAGAAATGGCAATTCAATTATTCTGACCTGAGCTCCTCCAACAATGCAACATATATAATAAAATACAAAATAGTGCAAAAAGTCTAGAAACATATCAATAGAATATGGGATACAGGGTTTCCCACACATAGACTATACTTGGGCGGGCCGCCCAGGTATATTAACGGCCGCCCAAGTATATTTCGCGATCCATTTCGTTTTTTTTTTTTTTTTAATTCATCCGTGACCACGACGCCATCTGCGATCGATTAACTTGTGGACAATGATCCCTTGCTCTGATCTCGCCTCCTTCTGGCCTGTTAAGTGGCCTGCCTCACACAGGGTGACTGGCTGTCCACATGATGTGGCCTGCCGACATGGCCACTGTCATACAGATCATAAATCAAAGCCCTTGATTGGTCTCTGTGTGTCATTCAAGCTCGGGATAACCTCAGCTCAGGTGAGGTAAAGGACTCTCTGAGTGTTTAGATAGTTAACTTAGTCTAAGTTCTCAGTGGGTCTCAAACGGTGTGGTCACCATTTATGTAAACATATATTTCCATTTGAGAGGGTAGTGATTGGTCTAATGGAGAGTGAGGTGGGCTGAAGATCGGAAGGCTGTGAGTTCAAATCCCGCCAGGAACACCACCACTAGTGTGCCCTTGAGTAAGGCACTTAGCCCTTAGTTACTCCAGGGAGAATGTCCCTGTAATCGGTCATTATAAGTCGCTTTGGATAAAAGCGTCAGCTAAATGAAATGTAATGTGATTTGTAAAATATGCATGAATAAATAAATAAAAAGTTAACTAGGTGAAAAAAGGTAAGATACACTTTTAAAACTTGTTGAGAGAAAACTAGTCTTTGCTGCTGCCTCAAAGAGGAGCAGGGGGGAGAGGAGGGAGACAGGAGAGGCTGATTCAGGAGCACAGACACACTCACAACTATAAATGAACCAAAACTAAATTAATAAACAAGTTTCAGTGTTTTTTTCATATTGGAAATGGTATGTTATTGGTTATGGCCTTGATTTTATGATTATTGAAATGTATACAGTTCTGTTAAATATAGGTGTTTCCATAGATCTAGTCTCTTTATTTTCCCCTCAAAATGCACCAGATTGATGCATTTAACTCCAAAATAAAAAATAAAATCTTACCGGGGGGGCATGCCCCTGGACCCCCCTAGAGGATTTGAGGTCGACCCCCACTAAAAATCACATGGATAGGTTCCTAAATACATTAATAAATACATTTATTTTTTTAAATAGTAGCCCATTTCCATATGTTCATGTGTGGGTAGTATATTTAAACTATAGGGCTATCATTATGGACCCTGCCTGTACCTGTTCGCTCTGCCATCGCGTGAAGGGTCTGCTAACAA